AAAAAGCGGATCCGCACTTCGTGTAAATAAACCATCAAAGTTCTCCCGTGGTGACTGATAAGAGGGCGAAAGAGGGTGACTGATAAGAGGGCGAAAGGCCCTGCACCTATTGCAAATGATACGGATAGAGTAGCTGGTCTTGAAGTATCCTCCATAATCCTCTGATGTACGACATGCTCGGGTCACTTAAAGTGTTCTGATACCGACAGCCTTTAGAGCGTGTTCTTCGGCGTAGGAGTGAGTCTAGGTCTTCCTCGATCCATAGGTTGTGGTGTCATGGATTCCGTTCCGCGACGATAAACAGTTTGGATGACTTGGCTGCCTTCGATCTGAAAACTTAATCTGATACAGCCGTGCAGCCTCGTGTCCATTACTATTCGTATGTAAAAATCGTATCTGCCATATGAATATCCTGCCATTCACAATATATTCATAAATTCATTCGCCATATATTAGCAAATTGTTCGTTTTTGAGTAAATATGTTTAAGGTTTACGGTAGACGCTGAAAAATAAATGTCAATCTAAGTTACAATCCAATCCGCCCACAAATGTTGGTTGTGTAAATTTGTTATTCCATCTCTTCTAAATGTTGCTTGATCCGTAATCAAGACTGAAGAGACAAACAACGGGTCGGCACTTTCTACAATAAACCATCGGCAAAACCTTTCTCATGGTGAGTAATCAAACGGCGAAAGACCCTGCATACGTTAAAAAATGATACGGATACAGCAGCTGCTCTTGCAGTACCCTCCATGCGCAACTATGAGATGTACGGCCTGCTAGGGTTACTTGACGTGTACTGATACCTGCATGATCTCCGACAGCCTGGAAAATGTGTTCTTCGTGGTCAGGCGTATGAACGGGTCTCGGTCTTCCTCGATACTTAGTTTGTGGTGCCACGGATCCTGTTTCAGGCTGCCTTTGGAGTGGAAACGCAATCTCATACAGCCGTACAGCCTGGTGTCCATTACCATTCGCGTGGGCGTATGTAAAAATCATAATCTGCCTGCACACGATAGGAATATCCTGCCATTGTTAAACGGACTACTTCTCAGTTAACTCACTACTACACACGTTAAAGAGTAAAGACAGACTAGCTACAAACGTACACGATTGACAAATGTAACCTAGTCTACACGGCAACATAGCGCCGTCTACCGTCAACTTTGTTAAAATTTAATCACTCAAAAACGAAAGATTTGCGGACTTATGTTTATATGAATATTTTTTTTCTTGTTTTGTCGTGAGGGACCCGCCCCAAAGTTTGTAAAAGTGTTTTAATACATCCCCCACACACACACGCGCACACCCATATATATATATATATATATATATATATATAGATATATATATATATATATATATATATTTTTTCTATATACTACTTCAAATGTTATTATATTTGATACTCGTATTTAAAATACACGCCCATTTTTATTTTCTTATTAAACAGTCCGTAATAAAAAAAAATAGGCCGTCTATTTCAAATATGATGTGTTCACTATAATGTTTGAAGTAATAAATATATTTAAAATAAAATAATTAATTCTTTATATATATATATATAAATGCTCTCATATATTTAATGATAATTTTATACTTTTATTAGTTTTATTCTTTTCTTGGTTATTGATTTGTTTTTTTAATATTTATTAATATTAAAGTTATGTCAATGTGTTACATTTGATAACTAACCTTTCACTCTGACATCCAGCGTAAAATATATATCGTCGTGCCTTGTCTCAGTAATCCCAAGAGCGAAGCCGTTTGGAATTCCAACTCTTGTAGGGCCAAACATGGCGCTAAGTTCGAGACTGAACGTGACCAACCCCGGAAGAACGAAGCGGCGGAATAGCCAAAGATCTACACGTGTGTTTACTGTCAGAAATGATAGGTTATTTCTTTATTGTAGTTCAGGGGGTCACTGTGTCCTCAACAGATTGTTAAATCGCGAAAGTTGATATAAACCATCACTATAAACAACTAGCCTTTATCTAAAATCGAACCTCAGGTGACCCTCTGTCAAAGCCCAGAGCTGTAATCATAGGGAAAGTACTTCCTTCGACAAACATCATCATCTAGGTTTTACTATATCACCTTTATTACTCTCAAGTCGATATATATTGCGAAACAGTTAACAAATATTGATTATGCAAATGACTGAGTTATCACAACAAACACCATTACCAATGCCACAGTTCTCCTACATCATCTATCTTTATGTCAATGCCTCTAAAACTGAATTTATAGGTTTCAACCAGCAAGTTTCAATACGAACTGTCTCAGGTATATCAATAAAATCTATCGAATCTTTTTACCTACCTCGGAAGCGAAATAAATTCTACTGAAGAGGATATGAAAATTCGCCTGGATCGACTTGAATAAAATGGATGTAATCTAGTAATCTGGTCTACCAGACAACCTCAACAAGAACGGGCGAAAGATCCACAGTTCTGGACACCTAGCCCTGGAGCAACATGGGTTGGTCACCCAGCAATGAGCTACATTGATCAACTATGTTATGACACAAAATGTCTCCTTCCGACCTGGATGCAGGACTGTGATGGCTAGCGTGATAGATTCATAAATGTCCCAGCTAAGTCAAAGGAATAATAAATTCACAGTATGTATATTGCGTGTGTTTAGTAATATTACGTATATGAAATTAAATAAAAAGTCAGAAGTGCATTAGCTTATCTCACCTGTTCCCGCGGAACTCTTGGGGACGTTTTACGGAACCTTGTTGAGAAACGTTGCCCTAGAGTATAAGCTTCATGGGACCTACACTCGGACGCTGAGATCTATATTGGAGACAACGTCCAACTAAATCACAGCTCTATAAACCAATCCCTGATAATTATACACTCTTACGCGAAAGCAGAATGCTTTTTGCAGGACACTGCGGGCGAGCAAAACAAGACCTCGCGATTAATCTGGACACCTAGCCATGGAACAAAACGGGTTGGTTCGCCCAGCAACCACCTACATTGACCAGCTGTATTACGATACAGGATACCACCCTAATGACCTTCCGACTTTGATGCAGGACAGCGATGGCTAGCGTGATAGACTCATAAATGTCCCAGCTAAGCCAATCGAATAATAAATTGACAGTAAGTCTGCCGTAATTTGTTAGGATCGGAGTCTATCTTAGGGGAAGATGAGCCCATACTTTTTTTTTCTTTTTTTTTTTGAGGACATCACTGCTAAGAAGACAAAGTCGTTTCTGTCAGAATTTGATCCCCGACTTTCCGAACGTTTAACTGTTACGCAAGCTACACATATATATGTGCGAATATATATATATATAAGGCAGGATGTGTGTGTGTGTGTGTGTGTGTGTGTGTGTGTGTGTGTGTGTGTGTGTGTGTGTGTGTGTGTGTGTGTGTAACGAATGCACGGCCGCAATTTTCGACAGATTTTCACCAAAATTTACATGCACATGCTCCAAGTTGGTGGGAAGGCCAAGACAGACTTTGCATTTCCTAACTCCCATCGATAGTGGAAATAATCGATTTTTTCATGCTTCTACGGCAGTTTTCGTGTAATTTGCGGCCATTTTGTACTGGCCCGAGTGAGAGCCTATAGATGGATGCCACGAATAGGCAGGAAGATTCTATTGGCCAGCGTTGAAAGCCAACAGCTGACTGACACAAATGTTAACTAGCATGCAAAAAAATCGATAGCTGCATTCGTCACTAGCGGGAGAAATTTAAATCTGCATGGCACTTTACTCCAATTGGCTGATTCGCTTGTTTAAACTCAACGTTGATTCTGATTCCGCAGAACTGGGTTGGGTGTGAAAAAGTATTTGTTGGTAACATTCTTTTTTCATTCGGTTTTTCCAGTTACGAGTCCATTTTTAAAGCTGATCGTTTTGTGTTAATTTTATTTAGTTCTTTTTTCGTAACAGATTTAATGTTTAGTATAGAGCTTAGAAAAAATTCGCAGTGTGAGATAGGCAAGAAGTAAGGCATGTAGCAACATCAGCACGGCAAAGGGCACTCCTTTAAGAGCAAGGAAGGGCAAAAATATTTTAAGTCGAGTGATAGCGATTGCTTTATGAGTCGTACGATTCTTGAATCAAGCACGGGCAAAGCCAGGCAATGCTGCTAGTATATATATATATATATATATATATATATATATATATATATATATATATATATAAGAATGATATAGAAGTGCTGATTGATGAATTTACCCGGGACTTTGTAATCTTCCATCTGTTATTTTATGTTATCGCGCTGCCTTCAAGCATTCTGGACTCCATACGTGGCTAAATACAAGCCACCTGTAGAACAAGTTTAATTTATATTTGGTGTGACGTCATTGCTAATGCAGGAATAGCTAGGAATATAGATAGATAAACAGAATGAGAGAGAGCAGCAGAGGGCGAGAGAGAGAGCTAATGACCTGGCAAATATAAAGAGAGAGAAAGACAGATACATAGATGATGAACAGAGATAGGTTGGGAGAGAAAGAAAAAGAGAGAGAGAGAAATAGCGATCCGGTGAGGAAAGAGAAGAGACGATGAACAGACGTAGATAGATAGATAGATAGATTGCATATATATATATATATATATATAGAGAGAGAGAGGGGGGGGAGAGACGATGAGCAGATAGATAGATAGATAGATAGATAGATAGGTAAAGCCTGGGATATATTTGAACAGGCTGAGATAGATAGATAGATAGATAGATAGATAGATAGATAGATAGATAGATAGATAGATAGAAATGTAAAGCCTGGGATATATTTGAACAGGTTGAGATAGATAGATAGATAGATAGATAGATGAAGATAGATAGATAGAGTAAAGAAGATAGAGTGAGAGATAACCAACAGATGGAGATTGATATATATATATATATATATATATATATATATATATATATATATATATATATATATATAGTGTTAATGTTCTACAAATTCACAATGCGGCGCCAACAGAATAAAAACCGATTCATAAAAGCAGAATTACACATAAAGTTTAGTAGACGAGTCCAGGCAAACAAAACACCAAGAAAGAAAGAAAGACACTGAGATATATGGAGAGAGGGAAAGTGAGATAAAAAAAGATAGATAGAAAGAAGGAGGGGTATATAATGAACTGACGAAGAAAGAGATGCATAGACGATAAACGAATGGACATAGATAGATAGATAGATAGATAGATAGATAGATAGATAGATAGATAGATAGATATGAAAAGACTGAGATAGATAGATAGATAGATAGATAGATAGATAGATAGATAGATAGATAGATATGAAAAGACTGAGATAGATAGATAGATAGATAGATAGATAGATAGATAGATAGATAGATAGATAGATAGATATGAAAAGACTGAGATAGATAGATAGATAGATAGATAGATAGATAGATAGATAGATAGATAGATAATTATCAATATTTGCTGAGCTACGACCTTATATCGTAGAACGTGTAGTAAAGGCTTGTGAGATGAACTCCTTAACCGCTACATATGAAGTGAAATCCGAGTACTGACACACATTTTCGACGCCACGAACAAGCGGATGTGGACTGAATCCAGCTGCGGATTCAATTCTGGCTTTTAAAACATTTCTCACCCTACTTTAATCTTCTATGATTTATCTGTTTAGAAGACAGTAACCCTGCTCCTTAAATAGGAGAACTTCACGCTGTAAATTTAATGAATGATTTAAAAACAAAACAAAACGAAATAAAAAAAAAACAACTTGGTTAATCGCCTAGTGGTAGAACCTTTACATGCAAAGCGAGTAGGCAGAACAACAAATAATATAGTATTAACAGCTAAGGGTACATAATGAGGAAAGACGGCTTGGAAAATTTTCCACTCACGAGTCATGTTGATGGGAAAAGAGACCAATGAAAAGAGCGCATAGTCTAACGGACGTTGACTGGCAGATCAACGATTAGGAGAGATAGCGAAAAGAGAAACGTTATTAAAGGTTACAAAGCGAAGGAAGCTGTGGATAGGCATGAACATCCCACGTCCCGAAGCGACAGGGCAGGTAGAAAAAGAGAAACTTGTCACCGCTTTAAAACAAAACAGGCAAGGTAGTATAACATATCGATTTAATCGATGTAAATTAGAAGTGGGACAAGGACGGAGCACCTGATGCGGATCGAACCCACTCGTAACAAATCTAGAGAGACAATCTTGCTAAACATTGCACCATATCGAAGTGTCTCTAACTAGCAGAACAGTGATGTACTAAGAGTAAATTAAATGAAGCACAAGGCCGAAAATATAGAGCACTCGATGAAGATCGAATTCACTACTCACTTGTAATCGATCAGGCTTGTTAACCATTGTCTTATGTCGAAGAACTCCTAGCCAGCATGACAGTGATTTATTAAGCGGAGCTTAAATGTGGATCAAGGCTGAAAGTCATGATCAGAGTTTCCCAACCTAAAGCAACATGAACAAAATAGGTCAAGACAAATTTCAGGTGACCCACAGAAATTCTATATTTACTGAGCCACCAGGATAATATATGGACCACAAAATAGAAGTATTATTTTTTACACTATAATAATTACCTGGGCCACAGAAAAATTCTTGGTTCAAAGTGGGTCATGTGATAAAAAGGTTGAGAACCACTAGCACAGAACCCCCAAGTGAGGATTGAACTCACTACTCAGTCGTAATTGATCAAGCGAGAAAAAGCTGGCCAACCATTGCCCCGTATCGAAGCGCCGCTAACCAGTATAACATATCCAGTAGGAGATCAATTACGACTTGGTAGTGAGTTCTATCCTGTCTAGGTGCTCCATATTATCGGCCTTGTGCCACATCTAATCTACGCTTTTTTAAATCGCTATAAGCAAAAAAGATATTCGATCCTTTCAAAAGAAAAGAAAAATATTGGCGTGTTGCCAAAGGACGATCGGAGAATGACCGGTTTGAAATGTTGAAAAGAGAAAAACAAATGTCGAAGCAAAAAGTCGAGCGGAAACTTTATCCTCGAGCAGGTTAAAAAAAAAAAAAAAAGAAAAAAAAAAAGCTTTTGTACGGGAAATTTACGAAAGTTGTAATGAGGATAAGTTGAAAGATGAGATTCCGACATTTTTGATTATTTTCTAAGTAATTCGATCAAAATGGCCGACGGACAGAAATAAAAACGAAAAGAGTCGAACGCGTTCGGTGAGGATCGAACTCACGACCCGTGATGAACTTACGTAGACATTTTCAGAGGCCTCATTTTTTAAAGCCTGTTCACCCCAAGCAAGGCAGTGAAAAACAAGAGGTACTAGGTGTGGACAAATTAGAAAACAGAAACATTACTTAGAAGCAAAAACAAAAGAAGAGTAATCAGGAAGACAGTAGATAGCGATTGGCATTGCATTTAATTCTCTAAAGGTTAAAGTTGACAGGAAAGCTAAAGGCCACTGAGACACAAGGGGTTACTGAGTGTAGACAATTTAGAAAACCATTTTCGCTCTCCACAATTTCCTGTCCTTTGTATCTTTTAATAAATTATTCTCCTTTTGTTATTTCTCCCAAACCCTGTTGAAGAACTAAGAACAAAAGAAGAGTAATCAGGAAGACAGTAGATAGCGATTGGCATTGCATTAAATTCTCTAAAGATTAAATTTGACAGGAAAGCAAAATGCCACTAAGACACAAGGGGTTACTGAGTGTAGACAAATTAGGAAACAGAAACATTACTAAGGTGCAAGAACAAAAGGAGAGTAATCAGGTAGACAGTAGATAGCGATGGACATTGCATTTAATTTTTTGCAGATTAATGTCGACTGGAAATCATGGAATGGGAAGCGAGTTCCACAATCAAGAAGGCCGAGAAAAGAAACTGTTAGCATGGAACTTACGGTTACATCTCGTCAATTCAACAGTAAATTAATGAGACCTAGTTACTAATCTAGTCTCTCTTCAGGACATAAGCGATCATGGCCCTCCACTTCTCCCTATTCTTTGTAGTTCTCAGTATGCTTTGTCCTTGTGTTTATATTTTTATGTTATTTTTTAATCTTTTTTTTTATTAAAGCGAGTTCACCCCTTGAAAGGCTCTAAAGCCACTAAGACACAAGGGGTTATTGGGTGTGGAAGAATTAGAGAAACAGAAATGTTACTAAACCATGAGAACTAAAAAAAAAAGAGTTATCAGGTGGACAGTAGATAACGATTAACATTGCATTTAAATTTTTAAAGATTAATGTCGGCTGGAAAGCCTGGAGCCGGAAGTTAGTTTTACAATTGAGATGTTTGAGAAAAGAAACTGTTAGCATAGAACTTACGGTTACATCTCGCCATCTCGACTGTAAAATGGTGAGACCTCGACGCCAATCTGGTACTGCGCTTAATTTTTTTTAAAGTCTAGACACCAAAGCGAAGAGCTCATCCGAACAACCATAAATTTATATAAAAAGAAAGTACAGGGAGGCAACTTTACGGCAGCGGGAAAGTGACTAATACCGAAATGCCAGATCAGGACCAATGATATTGCTGATTCTTCTTTTAATTTTATCAAGGATCTCTAGATATAAAGCAGGTGCAATATTCTAAGCCATGACTAATGGTAGACTTAGAAATATGCAAAATATATTCAGTCAAGAAAAATTGCCTAACACGACACAGTTACTCGATTTTCTTAGCAGCTGGCCTATATTTTTAATTTATCATTATTTGTTATTTTTTAACGCTTAGTTAAGTGCCATAGACGATAAACGCGGAGGCGATCATGTCTCTTTCAATTCATGAATGATTAGGCAGAAGATTTTCAGGAAGTTGCCGTTTCTTTCTGCCGTAGATTGGTTCTGAACGATGAAAACCAAACTGGATGAGTAGGTTACTAACAGATTCAAACTGCTTTTATTGTTAGCTTATTATCCTGTGAGAGTTAAATTCTTCGGGTCATCTTTCCTGATGATAACTCCCAGAAACCTCAACTGCTGATTTTCAGATAACTGACACCATTTTCTTTATAGTTCCTATTATCTTAAAACCTCGTCTTCAAATATGGTATTCTTAGGATTCTTCCGAAGACACACATATCTGTCGCTTCAAGTCTCTTATTCTGTGAAGGGATTGTCCAGCATTCACTGCCATATAGGAGATTAGATATTACATAGCCGTCCAACACTCTTTTCTTTGTTTCTAAGGACACTTGTCAGTAGAACCACATCTCTGTCGCTTCAAGTCTCTTCTTCATCTGTGAGGAGATTGTCCAGCATTCACTGCCATATAGGAGATTAGATATTACATAGCCGTCCAACACTCTTTTCCTTGTTTCTAAGGACACTCGTCAGTTGAACCACATCTCTGTCGCTTCAAGTCTCTTCTTCATCTGTGAGGAGATTGTCCAGCATTCACTGCCATATAGGAGATTAGATATTACATAGCCGTCCAACACTCTTTTCCTTGTTTCTAAGGACACTCGTCAGTTGAACCACATCTCTGTCGCTTCAAGTCTCTTCTTCATCTGTGAGGAGATTGTTCAGCATTCACTGCCATATAGGAGATTAGATATTACATAGCCGTCCAACACTCTTTTCTTTGCTTCTAAGGACACTCGTCAGTAGAACCACATCTCTGTCGCTTCAAGTCTCTTCTTCATCTGTGAGGAGATTGTCCAGCATTCACTGCCATATAGGAGATTAGATATTACATAGCCGTCCAACACTCTTTTCCTTGTTTCTAAGGACACTCGTCAGTTGAACCACATCTCTGTCGCTTCAAGTCTCTTCTTCATCTGTGAGGAGATTGTCCAGCATTCACTGCCATATAGGAGATTAGATATTACATAGCCGTCCAACACTCTTTTCCTTGTTTCTAAGGACACTCGTCAGTTGAACCACATCTCTGTCGCTTCAAGTCTCTTCTTCATCTGTGAGGAGATTGTCCAGCATTCACTGCCATATAGGAGATTAGATATTACATAGCTATGTCCAACACTCTTTTTTCTTTGTTTCTAAGGACACTCGTCAGTAGAACCACATCTCTGTCGCTTCAAGTCTCTTCTTCATCTGTCAGGAGATTGTCCAGCATTCACTGCCATATAGGAGATTAGATATTATATAGCCGTCCAACACTCTTTTTCTTTGTTTCTAAGGACACTCGTCAGTAGAACCACATCTCTGTCGCTTCAAGTCTCTTCTTCATCTGTGAGGAGATTGTCAGCATTCACTGCCATATAGGAGATTAGATATTACATAGCCATCCAACACTCTTTTTTTTGTTTCTAGGACACACTTCAGTAGAACCACATCTCTGTCGCTTCAAGTCTCTTCTTCATCTGTGAGGAGATTGTTCAGCATTCACTGCCATATAGGAGATTAGATATTACATAGCCGTCCAACACTCTTTTCTTTGCTTCTAAGGACACTCGTCAGTAGAACCACATTTCTGTCGCTTCAAGTCTCTTCTTCATCTGTGAGGAGATTGTCCAACATTCACTGCCATATAGGAGATTAGATATTACATAGCCGTCCAACACTCTTTTCTTTGTTTCT